GAAAAGGTATTTGTTTTTAAAAAGGAAAATCAGTGGACAGATTCCCCACTCTCCCACCCTTGCGGTCTGCAAACAATGAGGCCTCATTACATGGGGTTTATCACAGGTTATGGGGGAAAGTTTTGTGGAGGTCCCATGTTAAAATATTGATAGCTCTTTGCTTGTTGTTACTTATTTCTAGTGACTCTTTTCTGGTCCAGTTAACTCTTCCAGCATGAGGGAGGAGGAAGGAAAGGACCATTTATCAACCAAAAATGCTGCCTGAGTCAGATATTTTGGCAGGCAAAGAGGAGTTGAAAAGGTTTTAAATTTGATACCTCTTCAAAAATGAAATGAACAAAACAGTGGTAACAATAGGTTATTGTTCACTCTGAAGATTCTGGGACTAGTTCCATGTGTGAGGCAACCAGAGTGGTCAGCCAAAATCCCCAGACAGTCATTTTTTCTCAAGGCAAACACTGCTGCCAAAGGGCTCAGGTGGGGCAGTCTGAGCTGGTATTTCATGCAGATTGATAGTAGGAAGAAGAAATAGGTTACTCAGAATGTACAGCAGTGTAACTGAGATCAGAATCAGGCCTAATCAACATTGTCTTTCAGTGTTGTGGTCATTGGACCAGATTCTGATCTCAATTATAGCAGTGTAAATCCTGAGTGACGCTACTGCCTTCATTCACCCACGTGAATAAGATCAGAATCTAGCCCTCTTACTGTAAATGTTTCCAGGAAAGGCACAAATCTTACTGTATGTATAAAGACCCACGTACATTTGTGGAATATTGTGGAAACTTCTTTTGCTTGCAGCTTAGAATTCCAGATATTCCCTTCACAGGCCGGACACCTTCTAGCCTGGGTCCAACTCTTCCCCAGTTCAGTTTTAGGTGTTTTGAGCAGTCATCTTGGGGGTGGGGAAGTATCCAATGAAGAACCAACCCTGATTAACTCACTCCCCAGCCTTAAATAGGATCGGAAATCCTTTGTTTCCCAGTTTGATCCCCACCCTCTACTAGTGGAAAAATAACAGCAGTCCAAGATGGTGTCCAGTACCAGGTGACCCTGCAGTGTCAAAGCAGCACCCCAGGAAGCTTCTCAGGAAGGTGGGAGATTAGCATCTTCAAAGACCTATTGTTCTCCCTAATGGTTTATTGACTAACCAGCCAGACTGACTGCATTTTGTCTGGTGGGCGTTCCCAGGTGCAAACACTTTTGCAATCGATACATAATCAATATTCCTAACTTCAGATACAGAAATGATACATGCATACAAATAGGATAATCACATTCAGTAAATCATAACCTTTTCAATGATATCTCACATGACCCATCTTGCATAAAACTTATCTTAGTTATGCCATATTCATATCAGAACAATATTTCTATGAAGACTATGGGGCCTAGTGCCACACCTTCCTCTTTGATTACACTATTTGGACTAAGCAGCAGACTGGCCCCTAGGCCCCAGGTGCTAGTACTGTGTATTAGACATGTTAACGGGTCCAACAGAGAGTTACATGAATGCTGTGGTAATGGACTACCCCCTGGTGGAGTCTCCTTGATACTGCACGGAAGTTTAGCACAAGCCAGTGACTCACCTATTGAATTTATTGTGACACTTGAGAAAAACCACCAGGTGCATCGAGGTGCTAAATAAGTGCGAAAATACCAACTACAACAGATACCAACTACAACAGAAGGCAGCAGTGCCAAGTGGACCTGGTTGGGGGGGAGGGTAAAGAGGGGGAGAAATCACTTCTTATAGAAATGGTAGCCAGCAAAGCCCTGTTTTTGCTAGATTCGCACAAACACTAGATGTGATTGCCATCCTACAAGAGACTTTCCTACTATGTTAAAAGGCCAGTTTTCTTGGGGGAAATTCCACTCATTTTCACTCTCATTTCATGTTGGATGAAGGATCCTGTATTAGTTACTGGCCTCAGTTGCTACACCCAGGGCCGGCTCCAGGCACCAGCCCACCAAGCTTGTGCTTGGGGTGGCACCTGGAGGGGGGCGGCGCGGCGCAGTGCTCCAGCCGCCGGGGAGAGCAGGGCCGCGACTGGGCTCGCCGCCCTCCCCCCGGCGCTCTGGCCACCGGGGACAGCGGAGCCCCGGCCGGGCTTGCCGCCCTCCCCCCGGCGCTCTGGATGCCGGGGAGAGCGGAGCCCCGGCCGGGCTCTCCGCCCTCCTCCCAGGGCTCTGGCCGCCAGCAGAGCTGCGGCGGGCTCGCCGCCCTCCCCCAGGCGCTCTGGCCAGTTGAGGAGAGCGGCCCGCAGCCGGGCTCGGCGCCCTCCCCTGCCGCGCTCGGGCGGGGCGGCGGTGGGAGGCTTTTTTGCCTGGGGCGGCAAAAAAGCCAGAGCTGGCCCTGGCTACACCTCCACCTTGATGCAAAATCCAAGCCCATTACTCTGGGAAGGGGAGGATAGAGGACGGGAGAGGAGGGCAGTCCTTGTTTTGTAATGAATCCCCCCCTTTGAGACAGAAACAAGCCATGCTGTTAATGATGGGTCTGTAATGCACTCGTGTCTGCTGGGAAATAAGTGGAGACTAATGAAGGCCATTACACCCAATATCTTGGTTTACATTTATAACAAGGGGACCAGATGTAAAGCCAGCATTTGAGCCCTTCAGGAATGGTCCCGTGGTTAGGGTGCTACTCTAGGACTCAGCAGACCTGGGCTTTGCTACAGATTTCCTGTGTGACCTTGGGCAAGTCACAGCCTCTCTGTGCTACAGTCCCCTATCTGCATAATGGGGATCCTGCTCCATCTCAGAGGGCTGTTGTGGGTCTCCCATACACAGTAATGGGGGCCATAGAAGTACCTAAAATAGAAAAGGTTGTTGTAGGTATTTCCCGAGCATCACAAAGCAGCCAGAAAGCTGCCCCTGAAGGGCAGCTAGGGATTCCCATGACACAGGGGGAAAGTCAGTGTGATTGGCTTCTTGGCACCTGCTTCCCCAAACAACCCAGCACAGAGGATGTGGCAGAAGTGGGGCCAGAGCAGCCTCCTCACTACCTGCTCCTTTTGGTGCCGAAGGTGCACAATGAGAAGCAGGGCTGGACCACAGTGTCCTTACAAGTTAGCACAGTCCTTAGATAGATTCAGCCTGCAGGTAGCTCCAGGATCTGAGCAACTGAAAGACGACTTATCCACAGATGCCTCCTCGTCCCCATCAGCCCAGCTGCACCATGCTCTGCTTCAACCAGCTCAATATTTTTATTCCCATTTTACAGCTAAGGAAAATGAGGCACAGTGAAGTTAAGTAATGTACCTTGGGTGAGTTAACACAGCAAGTCTGTGGCAGAGCCAAGAATGTAAGTCAATATGCCTCAGCTACCAGATGTTTTCTTTAGTCACTAGGGGTTTCCTAGTGCACATAGTTTAATGCACTACTGGATGGTGCTCAGATATTATGGTGAGGAGTGTGGTCAAAAATCTTTATAGAACAGAACAGAACAATGAAAATGGATGCTGGCAGGCTTTTCAGATCAGCCAACTTTCAAGGAAATGTCCTCCAGTCAAATAGGCCAGCTCCCCTGAATTTTGGAAGGATTCAGGTGTCTTCCAAGACTTCTGGAAAAAGTGTTCTGTCTTGGCAAATCTCACAAAAAAAGCCCTTTCTAATAACATTTCCAGCAAATGATGTTTGCATAAGCATATCCTTTGGAGGCTTAGCTAAACCTCTGAACATTTTTGCGGTTTGCTATCACGATTAGCAAGGGAGGGGATGATCACTTGTAGTAGTCTGTCTGTTTTTACTATTTTAATTACCTTTTGGTGAATGTAGATGTTGTGAAAGGCACTGGATTGACAGCCCTAGAGACAGAGATCTTCTCTTTATTCATAGAACAGGTGTAGCAAACACAATGGTGTTGTGCATGCCCGCCAAACCACACCACAATGTGCCTTTATACCTTTACACAATGTGCCTTCAGGGACCAGGTCTAGGGGCAAAGGAGGAATTCAGTCTGCTGAGCACAGCCATCTCTTCTGAGACTGTCAACAAGTCTGCTAATTAGTGCCAATGGACATTTTTCTCTGAGTATAGTAGGAAGAGGGCCTGAAGAAGAGGGGGAATGCCACGCGCTGGGGGAAGAGGCGGGGCTGGGGGCGGGGATTTGGGGAAGGGATCCAATAGGGGAAGGGAGGGGGCAGAGTTGGGGTGGGGGCTTTGGGGAGGGGGTTGGAATGGGGGTGGGAAAGGGGCGGAGTCAGTGCGGGGCCAGGGCGGCAATTATTTCCTGGCCTAGGGGCAGCAAAATTATTAATCCGCCACTGATACAAACACATTCCAGAAAGGTGGTACCAGAACACCTTGATACCAGCACATTCCCCAAAGATAACAGGAACACACTGACCCATCTGAAAGATAAGGTCAGGATGACAGCACGATGGATAGAGATGTTTTGATCAAACCAACATGTACAAGGCAATGGGTGGCACCCTAATACGTCAGAGGGTGGCACCCTGATTCGTCAGAGGCAATACGTAACGTGTTTGTGTTGGTGTATAAAGATGTATCTCAGAGGGAGTGTCTTTGGCCAGCCAAGGGGGCAGTGTAAAGTCCCGCCACTGACTGAGCTGCGTCCATTGTCACGGGCATACATGTGCTAGTGTAACTGGAGACATTGATCCAGGGAGCTAGGACCGTGCTTTGTTGGCACTAAACCTGGCTGGATGCCTTCTTACCTTAATGGATCTTGTGGTCATTGAGCGGTTTGCTCGAGGTCTGCTGTGCCAGCTGTCTGCTCAGAGCTGGAACAGCACACACAGAGAGAACACACACACATGCAGCCGAACATCTGACAACACTGAGAACTGAAGAGATCACCACATTTATGTTGTGCAGGCCACCAAACAACCAGACCTTGGTCACCACTGACATGGATGGGTGACTTAGACACAAATTTTTCTATATCCTATTGCTGATCTCCCGAGCCATGCAGTCCCTTACACCCCAGTAATATTGCTGTCATTAAAGCAGTCAGTAGACGTGTGTGTGCTTACCAATCCGTGTGAGCATCGTCAATCACCAAAAGGATCTTGGGTTTCTGAGCCACAGGAGCAGGGCTTGCCGAGTGCTCCATCAGTCCTGCAGCTGCTTGTGTGGTCTGCTTCATGGCACTGGAGATGGAACTGAAAATACTGGTTCCAGAAGAGGAAGAGGGTGATGGCTGAGATGGCTGTTGCTGTTGCTTCCTCTCAGTTGCTGGAGAACCTGGAGAGCTAGTGGAGTTATCAGGACGCTGCAGATCCATCATATAGCCATTGGGCAAGTTGGCCACAAAACTACTGTCCGAGAGGCGCCTTCGGAGGAAATTCATTGCTGAAGCTCAGGATGGAGAACTTCTCCACAATGCGAGCGAGACAAAATAACTATATCCCACAGTCCAGAGGGGCTTTTGGAGTCACTATAGCTTAGTCCAGACAGAGATGCTGTCACCCTTGAAATTGTGTTTGAGGAAGAAATAGAAATAGATCTTTTTTCCTGTGGAAGAACAAGATACACTTGTGTGAGATGCAGATAAATTGTTTCACATGAGAACAACTCACTGAGCCTTTAAAGAACATCCTAAGGCCTAAAGCTTAGTCAACACTTGTGTAAATGGAGAAGGGTCATTACTTTATATGCAGGGTATCCTACACCAGCTTGCTAGCAAGGCACATTGGCCAAGTGGGTAGAAGTAGGTAGGCTTCATGGCCTTTTCCTGCCCCCAAATGTTACTGAATTGCACACAACTCCTCCTCCAGTCACAATAGAAAGACTAAAATATCTAGAGCCCTGCAAATCTGCGGATATCTGCTTTACATCCGTGGATTGGATGCAGATACAAATTTTGTATCTGCGCAGGGCTCTAAAAATAGCTGTGTGTCGATTGATTTGGTGTCCCAGTAGTTAGTGTTTCAGAGGAAGTTGGGGGGGGAGGAGAAAGAGTCCCATAATACATTTGGCTATTTCTACAACACTGTTCACCATGGAGAAGAAAAATTCTTTTCACTCCAGCTAGCAATCTGAGTCTATTCTGAGGCAAGAGAAATGAGACAAATATTGGATAAGTTGGAATTTCAGCAAACGGATTGGCTGAAAAAACCCTGTTTGCTGCTGGCTTGTTAAAGGGACTCTGAATTTTGAGAAGCAAACATTCTAAACACAGCGATTAGTGGGGAAAAAATCCCAGAGCAAGGCTCGTGTGACACTCCAGGGCCAGTTTTCAAAAGAAGCTTCATTCTGTACTTGGCTCTGTATGTGCAATTTTGTGTCCCCCATATCTAGATTTTGGGCTTCATTAATATTCGGTAGTTACTAGAGATATTATCACATTATCTGATTTGCTAGTTCATTTCAGGGGCATACACAAAATTGGAAGCACAATTTTTAAAAAGGCCACATTGAGGCTGCTTTGCAAACTTGGTCCTCTAGATTTAAATGCTTCTTTTAGGAATAAGGTGTATTACTCTGCTGATCTTCTCCAATCAGGTAATGAACAAGGAGAAATTTAAACACCTGGATTTTTTCCTGAGCCACTAAACTGTCTTGTTATTTATGGAAAATGCATCCAATATTTCAGAGCAAACTAATGCCACATGAGTTAGTGGCATCACTTCACTATTTCACAACTGGAGACACTGGGGCCAGGAAATAGGATTTCCACAGGGACTCTGCAAGACCCCCTTCTCTGCTAACACAGCATACATCTTTGGGTCTTGTCTAGGCATAGCAGGGAATGAGCGGGGAACCAAAAACGATACAACAGCAACATAATGGTAGTCAATCATGTTTATGTCTTGGTACCAGTAACAGGTAACACAAGGGCATTTATTATAGCAGATGTCTGGAGCAGTGAAAGTGAGGGCTGCCTCTTGAATCAGTGGGGGCCATTCCTAGTGTCACAGTTACAGGTATAGCAGCACCTTGGTCTCCTCTCAAGTCTTTCTGCGTGCACCCCTCAGGTCTTTGGCCACAAGTCTTTATTTCCCTGGAATCCTGCAATTCTCCAACTCTTAGACCAGGCCTCAGGCTACCCTCCTCCCCCCGCCCATGTACCAACTGTAATTTCCCTACAGGTCCAATTGGGCTTGGCAGCTGCAAGTCTTCCTTTTGGGAGATGTGACCAGCGGTTAATACAGTGGCCAGATAGCATTCTTAAAGGTAAGTATTGTTTAACCTTAATAGTAGGAACATGGCATCCAAGAAAGGATTTCAAAACAGAACAGTCTGTACACATCTATCTTACTAAGGTTTACTGTCCCCTGGAAGGTTATAAAGGCCCAACTGCTTCAGACCCCTTCTGTAGGGCCTGTGTCTGTATAAGCCTCTGCCTCTCAAACAGTCTGACAACTGCCTCTCCCTTTCTCTTGAGGGTGATTTTTTAGCCTATTAGTGGCCTCTTGATATTCTGGTTCCCAGCCTTGGCAAAATAAGCCTTGTATCTTTACTGGTGACTGGAAGGAGCTTCCAGCTAATAGCTCAAGTATTGCTCCTTAATGACCCCTGCCTTGTTTACTAGGAGGTTACTTATCTAGAAATATTGTCTTGCCTTCCTGCTAATTTCCTAACCGTCCTGCTATGGAACTAAATCAACATATGCATATGGTAAACATTCCAGTCATTTAATATAGCTACACACCCACCCACCATAATCAGGTCACATACAGTATGCTTAAATTATTACAGATCATCCCCACAGCTTTCACATCTAGTAAAATGAAACCATTCCACCCCACTGTTCAGACTTAACCTTCTGAGTGCCACTGTCCTACCACAATAGTAAAAACAAATCTCTGTGTTAGCAAAGATGTTATCCCAGGTGGTAACCAGAGTGGCAGAATGGTGAGAGAAGGCTTTCTTGAAGAGTACGGGTAGCTTAATAGAAGGGCATTGCACGGGCCTCTCTTGGGGGGAGATGCATGTGTCATTTCTCTGCATAATACAGAAAGAGAAATGAAATTAATACATAACTACTCTACATGACACAGTCTACCCACATTCTAGTACGAGGGACATTTGAGCAGAGTTGCTGTCTGCAGACCACCAAGGTCCAAGTTTAGTGTTGGTTATGGTGATATGCAGTTCACATATGGACAGAGTCCAATTACAGCATATGGAAAATGCCATAATTAGGTATGTTTGCTTGGAGTATTTGGCATTAGATGGCAGACAGGGGAGGGTCAGCAGAAATCTAACTTCAATATCAACAGTGTAATATACCGTTTTATATCTTTGCAGCTTTTGGGGAAGTTGTCCCCTGTTCTACTGCTAAAGCATTCATTTCCTGCCATTACTGCTATCAGCCATTAGAGGGAGCCTGTGGCTATCGATAATAATCATGATGAGTAAAATTTTTAAAAGCACCTAAGTGACTTAGGAACCAAAGTCCCACAAAACTTGCAGCTCCATGTTTGAAAATTTTACCAACTACTTGGTGCTTGTATAGCTCTTATCTCCTCTACAAGCCTGACATCTTCTAAGCAAGGGACAAAGTAATATTAACTAATCTGCATGGATCAACAGCAGGAAATAACAAAACAGAGTGAAAGAATTTAAAATAATAAATAAAAGTATTCTACAGTACAGAATGCTTGTCATCCAGTAATGGAGATGCAGTGGTGCATACTGGCACCCTAGAGCAAGGAAAAAGAATAGAAATTAGTTATTCTGCACTGCCACATGGAAGACATAGATTGGACTCATTTACTGGTCTCCTTCTCCCTGGACTGGCGTGGGCTTGGAGTTCTGTGGAGACACTGCTCTTGGGCTGTCTCTGTGCCACTAACTGAACCCTCCAAAATCAATGTATTGTTGATACATTCCAAAGGAAGACAATCCCACTGTGACAGGAAGGTTGCCGACCAAGGCTCTAGAAATTCAGGAAGGATTTGACCTCCAACTCCATCTGTAAAAGTCTGTGGGGGAAAATGACAAGAAGTGTGCTCATTTCTTTATAAAACCATTAGGAAAAGAGTGTACCTTGAGGGGACATTTTCATCAGCCTTAGGTTAGCGTAATTAATGAAGTAATTGAAATCCATTTTTTTAAATTAAGGTAATTGTAGCTCTGCCATATCAATATATTGATTGCCATTAGCCCAGCTACAGAGAAGGTTTTATCTAAGATGAAAGAAAGATCAGTAATGGCATACATAAGTAAAAGGCCAACAAACACCCTGCTTACCGGAAAACATCAAAAACAATCTATTCTGCATTACACCCACACTGTTTGTACTTGCCTTTGTTCTTTAGCTCTACAGACATGTACATCAGAACAGGGGCTTCATTTTCACTGGGGCCCCACATCCTGCAGCTCCTAGCCACAACTTCAGCTGAAGTCAACATGCAACATCCATGATGAGTTCACAAGCCCCATTTGGTCTTTGCGTAACTCAACTGATTGCGTTCAGCAGGAGGGGAACAATATCCAGGGTCCAAATATTCTATGAGCTAAACAGTCAGGATCCACCACACAACTGCCAAGTAATGTGTTGGTCATATTATGTAAATTATTCAGTGAGATTATTTGCATATTTGCAAATAATTTGCTTACAACCATAAATTTAAGCTTATGGTCAACACCCGTTCCTCCAAACAGTGGCAGGGTTAGGGTATGGTGCTGCAAAAAGCTTGCCAATTATGGGGAGGACAGGTTTGACACAGAGAATGCTCTATAGAAAGTCCAGAGGTCGGAACGGCAAAGATTCAAACCTCAGTTCTGGACAGACTTCCATCTGTAGATCCCAAAATGCTTTACAGATGTGAATGAGAGTGCTCTCCCGTCGACATAGCGCGTCTTCACCAGACATGCTACATTGGCACAGCCTCACTGATGTAGTGTGGTAGTGAAGACAAGCCCCAAACAACTCACAAAACTGGAGCAACTGAACAGCCAGTGGGAATGCAAGGGGCTCTGGAGCTGACAGGGAAAGGAGGGTTTAGGGAGCTCTTCAGCTCATTCTTGACCAACCCCTTCTTGCTGGTGTTCAAAACAGAACTGTGTCAAGAACTGTGTTTCCTTAGTTGGTAAGAGGGCGTCTGCAATTCAGGGCCTTTGAGGGCAAAAGTTACAGGGGAAAATGCAGAGAACCTCTACAAATAAGTGAATGAAAGTTACAAGATTGAAAGAAAAAACAAACAAAAAACACCCCCCATGGGAATAATTTTGCCCTCTGGGAAAGAAAGCGAAAAATGAAGAACAAAGAGAAAGAGTAAGAAATCAGAAGGGGAAAAAAAATCAGACAAACCAAAAGACAGCAAGAGAACCCATGAAAACCCAGACATATACAGTGTCATGAACATACAGCTAAGGGTAGCATAAAATCCCTCCTTTACCTATAAAGGGTTAAGAAGCTCAAATAACCTGGTTGGCACCTAACCAAAAGGACCAATAAGGGGAGAAGATACTTTCAAATCTGTGGGGGAAGGTTTTTGCTTTGTGCTCTGTGTTGTTGTTCTCTCTGAGGCAAAGAGAGAGACCAAACAAGTAATCCAGGTCCT